TTTTTTTTTTTTTTTTTTTTAATATCGATATATATGTAACGGCGAACTCTTCCACCTCTCAATAATGACCTGCAAAAACATGACAGTCTACAAAATGAAAGTCTGGGGAGTGTTGTGCAGCCTGAATGACTATGGTCACTACTCACATGGAAAACAAGTCGGATTTGTATATTCAGTTAGGAAATGGCGGCTTGCTTAAATATCTAGAAGAGAAGTTGGTCTTCTAGACTGAAGTGAAACATATATCGCACGTTTTAATACTTCCTGGCGCACTTCGGCCCTCCTTTCCTGCTTTTCTGAATCACAGTCTACTATTCCCATATGACATCATTTCCTTCCTCTCCAAGGTAGAAATTCCCAGCGTGCTCTCCTCACTCATGCCTTCGCCTACACCACCCATTCACACAGCCCTCTGCTGCTCTTCTGTGATTTCTGGCCACCACTTTCCCTTTACGAGCACAAAGCCGCAAGTTAAAAGCAAAAGTTGAGTGAAAGTTCCAGGTTGTCAGAAACTCCTACTTTAGAAACAATTTTTCCCCTTCTGATGAGTAATTTTAGAAATGAGACATTTCCTTGTTACAATGATGTAATAGTAGCTAAAGGAACTAAAAGTGGGATCCTTTACTGTGGGGACTATTGAACATTTACAGAGGAAGCGCGCCACCTATTGGCCAAGGGGGACAAACACATCAACCAAGTCTGCGGAGAGCAGACTTCTTCCTGTCCTGGGCAAAACTTCTTCAGAGCTGCAAAGAGACTCTGTCCTGGAAAGAACTGATTTCTGAAAGATAGTTGGAAAAGTTACAGCCTTAGTTTTTGTATCTTCGGGAGGGAAAATCCCCCCAGTTTCAGGTAGGGCATGCCCTCTATGGGAAAACTGCAGCTATGTCGGGAGAGTCAGAATGTGTGTGTTTCTTGCCTCCAGGCTGCTCAGCTGTCCAGGGCCTCCTGAATCATGTGTCCCTTTAATGTCCTTGTAAGCCACTTGGAGCCTTAAAGCCCATCTTTCTGGATAAATGAGGAGAAGCAAGGTAAATCAGGAAATATGTCCTATTTGAAGGTGCATGAACATGTTCTTAATAGTAAGTTGGCAATTTTTCAAATTTATTCCCACTCCCAGATTATGTCCCTTGACTTCATAATCAGGAGAAAATTCTCATTTTCACTTTGTGTAATGATACCACTGGCATCCCTTGCACCTTGACTCAGTAATAAGAAAAGCATAGCTTAAGGAATTTCAGAGGATACAACTGTTGCCAAATGACAGGCCTGCAAAGTATCTGTTTGGGTAGAATCGAGAGGAATTAAGGGCATCTAAACTGTAACTGAAGAAGTTCATCAGGAAGTGTGTGCCAATTGCTCAGTTTGCAGGGATCTCATTCTCAAATTTCTACTTGAGGTTACAGACTCTACCTTTACATAGCTTCTGTCCAATTGATGGGGTAAAGGGCTCTCATTTGCACGTTTAACGATTCTGTGACTTGCCCTTCTTTGTTCCTCCACCACTTGTAGGGGACCATGTAGGAGTAGGAAAAAGAAGAATTTTTTCTTTGATTCACCTGGCTCTGTCTTTGTTATTATTTCCTACCAACTTTCAAATATTATAACTGCTGCCACTATTTGGTGCTCTTTCTTGTTTCCTTTCTTCTTTTCTTCTCTTTTTTCTTTTCTGTCTTCTTTGCTTTTTTTAATGTAACCTTCCCTTTTTGTTTTTCGTTTATACTCTTGGGTACAAAAGTTTATCATTGATTCCATGTTGTTGCCTTTCTCTAAAAGCCTCTGTACCTATGTCTTCTTTCATATCTCAGAGTTACTCAATATTCGAAGATGTAGGACTGAGTTGCAAGGCTGAATGTCTGGGCGGGGTGAAATGGACTGAGCTTGAGCTGGCTGAAGACCCCTCACAGGTCCCTCACTGCAGGGCGAGCTTACACCCCGAGGCAGAGAAGAGTGCCGCTGGATGAGCTGTGAGGGATCACAGCACAGCACCAGCTGGAAGTTGCCAAGGTTTTCCAGCGTCAGCAACTAGAGAGTGTGCAGACGGGTGTGGCCACGCTTCTGCCCTCCTACCAGCTGATTCTCCTGCAGTAGGGGTCCCTCTGATGTCCAGTCCCACATAAAACACAGTGAAGACCGGAAGCCCTTCCCACGCATCTACACCCTTGACTTGGGAACAAACTCGGGAGCTCATCTGTATCCCTCTTGAGACGGTTCCACGTCTGATTCCATGAGGAGGATGCTGCAGGACTCACATTTGCTCAAAGGCAACAGCGCACATGTAGAAACGGGAAGGAGATGGAAGTCAGCAACGGCTTGAGGACTTGGAAGGAGTACAGAGACCTTTATTGTGTGGAATGCAACAGGCAGGCCCTCAGGAGGTGGAACGATTCCAATGGGCAGCACAGAGTCAGCTGTTTTTCCAGATCATTCCTATTCAGATGAGGAGGAGATCCAAGTGGATTCCCCGAGCACAGAGTTCTCCCACCCAGAGTGGCCAATAGCGGTGTCCCTAGGGCCGGTGACTCTGATACCACAGCAACTGCTGAGTGTTGGAAGGAACGAGGGTTACTCCAGTGCCAGCTGCAAACTTCTGTTTCCATTTGCAGAAAACTCTACTCCATTATAGTTATTTCAAAGAAACTGTGTCTACTTTCCTTAGTATTTAAAGTCAGTCAGTGACTCTCACCACACGCCTGTTACAATACAAAACAGCAGACAACAGTCCTTTGGCATTTGAAGCGATGCCCGAAATCCTTTGTCACTGCACCATTCCTGATCTTCTGATTTCATGCCATGACCTCTCCATGGATCATAAATCCCAGGTCCATTTCAATCCTTCATTTCCTTTAACAGGCCCTTCCAGACAAGTCATTATCTCAAATGTCCTGAAGGTTTTGACCTTAGATTTTAGTACCTTCAGAATAATCCATCCTTCCAGATTTATATTTCTCTCCAAACAGTCCAAATGAAGTTACTGGAAAGATTGAGTTAATAGCTTCAAAGATCTTAGGACAGTAGCTGGTCCGTGGTTAGCATGCAATAAATTTCCATGTTATCATTTAAAAGATCGTCATCAGTATTTTCCAGTTTAAGAGCAGACTCTTATCTTAATACCTTCTCTTTAATTCTAGATTTCTAAGGCAATTTTTAAATTGCCTGACTAGATTTCTTAACTAGATAGACTGCAGGCAAAGGTTACTGTCCACGATCACGCCCGAGAAGGTTGTTAGTGTGCTGGCACCTGGGTTCTGGTTGCCATTCTCTTGAGAATTGGTTGATGTGACTCCTCCTTTCTCTCCCGGATCGTATGAAATGAGAATGAAGTGTCTGGTCTTGCAAAGTCGAAGGTTGGTCATTGATCAGAATGTAGTCTTCTTTGAGCCTCTGGCAGGGGTAGCCATTTCCTGATTTTGTGTAATTCCATGCTGGCTTTCATCTTTCCATTCTGCAACTACAGCACCTGGTCCCCATCTTTGCTTCACTAAATTTTGTTAACTTAGACTTTGTCATTTTGCCAGTAGGAAATTAGCTTTCCTTTTTTCACATTCATGACGTTCAGAATTACATTTGTTTTATTTCTTGCCCACAAAGAACTGTCTAGTTTTGCTTTCTAAGAAAGTTGAAATGAAGTCTTGAAAGTTAGAGAGAAAAACGGTGAAGCCCCTTTGCAATTCAGTTACTTCCCCTTCTTTGCATTAACTCAGAGTGAAACAGAAAGTAATGCCAGATGAGCAAGACAGACTATGCCCTGTAAACCACTATGAAAAAAAATAAGTTATTAAGAATCTTATTGTTGTTATTTAAATTTAAAGTGGAATAGCACAAATAAGTTAAAAAAGGGCTATTTCTTTTCGACATAGCCTCACTACCTGCATTTTGAGTATGACACAGAAGACAAACAAAGCAGCGCATTAGAAATATGCAGACTGAATGAGCAACTGAAGTTCACCAGTTTCTGTCCTCTAAGTTTCCACTGAGAGACATTATCATTGAATCTCCTGTGCCCAGCTCAGAAATTCTGACTATAACAAGTGTTCAAAAATTTAAGTAACGAGTCTTACAAAAAAGCTGTATTGGCAAAATGAAAATTATCTGCCTAGTAAAGGCAAAATAATTACAATTAGGTAACAAATCCTCTGCCTATAGACAAAATTAACTTTGTTATCAGCATGGAGGGCTGCTGACACTTTGATATCTGGGGACATGGGTCAAGAGAGGAGGAGGTCACCCCTGACAACTAGGATCCTTTGCACAAACACTCCAGCAGGAAGGGAAGGATCCTGGAAGGTTATTATTTTGCCGACAATGACACAAGCCCTCCACGGCAGGGTAATTCCAGAGTCCTCAGGATGTGGTCTACCTGCCCTCAGGGAATGAGTCCAGGAGAGTTTGGCTTGAAGACACTTCATCATTCCAGAGGAAAAGGGTTTCTAGAAGGGGCATCTCCCTCGTGAGTCAGGTGGTGCTGGGAAAATAAAATGGTCTCAGGATTAGCATCTCCAT